AAAGAAAGAAAGAAAGAAAGAAAGAAAAAAACTTCGCAATAGAAGTTCAATTAAAACTCACAGAAATAATGCGTGACATATTAAACTTTTGACAGTTTTACAGATGTGTCAGATTCCAACCTGGTGCAATGACCAGCAGTCAGTGAATAAATAGATGAATAAATAAATAAATAAATAAATAAATAAATAAATAAATAAATAAATAAATAAATAAATAAATAAATAAATAAATAAAATACACAGGTGAAAGGTTTAATAAGAACAGAAGAATTGTGTGTGGTCAAAAAGAAGGAGGAAACATATGAGCCCTCTCTAGATGTACATTTTCTCTGATCTTTAAAATTCAAAGGATGTGGTCTGGTGGCAAAGACCTGACTCAGCCATTCATGGCAAGGGAGCTACATTTGAGCTGAAGCCTTTGTCATTCGACAGTAAACGTGCCTGCTTTATTCAGAAGTTAATCTTTTAAAACAGCTGATGCACGTTTAAAGCCGCATGTGAGACCAGGGAAAGTTTGACTACTAAAAATGTTTTGATTTCGTGTCATGACTCAAAGCAACCCTGCTTGAGAAAACTGAAAGCTGTCCCTAAAAATAAGGTGGTGGATGTAAACAGAAAAGCCTCACCAGACAACTGCATCAGACGTGAGGAGGGTTTAAAAAAAGGCAACATGTAAACCAGATAGCATAAATACAAACACAACTGGTTACGGTAAGAGCATGAAGACCTTTATATTGGCTATGTTTAGTCCTAACTCAGCATAATTGAGACCTTAATTAAATGCCGTAACTCAGCGTGGGTCTCGCACAGGTTGTCTTTTCCATGCTTCAAATTCTGTTTAGCAAAGACATTTTTTCAAAACACACACTGTTTGTGAATAATCTTGTGTAAGATTAAGAATACTAATTTTAATTTAATCCATCACCCTAATTAAAATAATCGGCATGGACAATAAATGATTGAACGTCTATGACATCAGGAAGTGCTTATTGGAAGTATAAAACAAAGGAATCTTTTGTCATAGATTATGTGGTTGAATATGTAAAAAAATAATCCTCAAAAACAAAATAGTTGTCTTGGTAATGTTCGACAATATGCTCTATTGTTGGAGCAAAATCATCATGGAAGACATGAATTCCATCCAGATGGAAATGTTTGACCACCCCACCTTTAGTCTAACACAAGGCAATGTGTCCAGTCCATGTAAATTATATCAGAAAATAATAGTCACTGCAAAAGGTCAAAGGTCAAAGGTTTGATAGTTTATTTTCCATTTGACAAAAAAATGTAGAAGGATTTTTTACAATAAAGAATGCACTTTAATAGACAGGGGTATTCGAAGAGAAAGCTACATGTCAGCACCGCTCATCGTCTTCTTGATCCACTTGAGTTGCTTCTCCGTCACATAGGCGTACACGCCAGGCTTTTTCTTCTCTCCACACCTCCGCCCAAAAGAGGTGACCCCAACTAATTCTCCGTTACACAACAGAGGCCCTCCTGAATCTCCCTGGAGAGTGAGGAAACAATCAGCGGTTTGCCTTTAGCTCATAACTTCGGTTAATGTGGAACGAGAGGCTTGTGGTCCACTCACATGGCAGGTATCAGCAATGCTTTTACCGTCTGACCCGGCACAGATCATCCTGCTGGTGATGACGGGGTTGAGGTTGTAGTAGTCAGGAGAGTTGCACTTGGCCCTGTCGATCACGGTCACATTCACGGACATCAGGACGTCGGACATTCGATTGATGTTGTTGTTTGTTTTTCCCCACCCGGCCACCATGCAACTGGTACCGGCTGCAGGCTCTTTGGCGGCCTTGTTCAGTTTGAACATTTTCACTGTGTCGGTTTGCTTCGCCGGCTTGCTCAGCTGAAATTGAAAAAAACAACAACAACAACAGTATTACACAACAGTCGACACATTGCAAAGGGAATTATTTAAACAGAAATTTTGCTAAATGGCCCCAATATTTAAGCCAGCAAAAATTCAGGCCTCGTTTCTTGGCCACCTTGGACTTGAATCCAATTCAGATTTGGCTCATGCTTTAACATATTACCTACCACAATCTAAATTCAACTTACCTTTAGCAACATAAGGTCGTTGACTTTGTCATTCTGATCGTAGCAGGGATGAGGAACATGTCTTTTTACCGTCAGGACCTGCCTGGAGGCCTTCTCATTTTCTTTGATGGAGTGCACCCCAAGCAACACTTTCTGAATGCTGTAAAGGTAAAGTTTAGTCATTACCTTCATTTATCTGAATTATCACAGCTTGCATTGAATGGAGAATTGAACCTGCAAAAAACATGTTTGACGTTGACTTATGCTGTGAGCGCATATGAAGAAAAATAAAATAAAATGTGTCAAAAGCAACACTCCAAACTAGGCGTGGTTTGTACAGAATGAAAATCTATGTTTTTTCTTTTTTATATATTTCTGTAGTTAAAATCTTTGGTACAGATGCAAACTGAGTTAGAGATCACTCAGACACAACAGCTTCATAGCCAGAAGGCAAATATTTGTGACTCATTCTGAGCTTTTCAAACACTTTCCTGAGCAAAGGACACTCCCATGTTCTTTACCTTGCTTGTTTTTGCCCATAACAAAAAAAATAACATTGTTCGGTTTCATATTTCCAAAAGTTTGGGCACCTGCATGAAAATTTGTGTCACCGATGGGCTGTTTAACAGAATAAAAGTGTATTCAAGCCGCAGTGCAGTTTGAGACAGTAATTTTAAATAAAAGACTTGCACACAACTTGGAGTCATTACAATCCACAGCAGCATTGGTTTTGCCATTGCCTTCTCAAAGTAGTTGCAGTTCCCAAAATTATTACTAAACCCAAATCATATAGTCTTTTATCTTCAATAGTAATTCTGGTGCTCATGGTGCTTAAGATCAAACCTGTCATGTGTTAGATGAGACAGATTCATTAACGCATGCTACAGGCTCTTACTCAGTGCAGTGGGCTGCAGTCAGCACCCATTTCGGATCAATCAAAACTCCTCCACAGGCAGGGGTCTTAGTTTCCAGCAGTGCCATGAAAGGCAAGGAGTGCTTTTTGACTTCTTTCCCATTGATAATCTCCGAACCATGACCTAATACACACAACATTGATGGAAAGAAAAGAAAAAATCTTGGCAATGTCTTTCCCCCAAAGGATGTAAAACAAGGCATCCAATGATTCAGACCAGAAAATAAGCAATTCAATGATTGAACCCAAAGAATGGGACTCACCAGGGTTGACAACAAGAAGAATGACACAGCAGATGAAAGCAGAGAGGCAGGACATTTCTTTTTATCTCAGTGTTTGATGTGCTGGTGGATGCACTGATGTGAATTCTCACACTGGGGGGCTTTATATGTCAGATTTAAAGGATGTGGTCTCATGTGGAAATGCATGAGTCAACAAAATTGATGCAAGTGTGACTCAAGAGCTGATGCGTAATTTTACTTGCAAGTGGTGACATTTACCAGCACCGAGGGTATTCATTTTCAGGCAGCGGCTGTGGGGCTGGGGGGCTCATTTTCAAGTGGCTCTCACATCTTCGCGTGATTATTTTTACGTAAAGTTATGAGTCAAATGAAATAACATGAGAGTGACACTCGTTGGCCAGTTAGTTGATAATAAAATCAGGTTCAACTTACAAAAAAAAGAAGATATGTTGTGTCAACTGAAGACCAGACAAATTTGAGCAGACGCTCACTATCAGACAAAGTGGTGGAAAGAAGAGCACGTCATTTTTAACCTATGAATAATTTCAGAGCATTCTGAAAGTGAGTGAGAGGATGTTTTAGTCATTGCTTGACTGGGGACCTTGATGAAATGTTTCCCTGGCGAAGAATAGTCATGATACCAGCAATACTGTTGTAGGTATTTTTATTTAAATGGCTCTCAGCTACATGGACGGCATCAAAAGAAAACATGGAAGCTTACAGTGCACATCTATTCAATAATGGAAGAATTACATGTACAAGCCCAAATGCACCACATATATTGACATGAATCGATATGCATCTCTACATTTTCTTTGTATGGCTCGTGCAGGAGTGGAAGTTTAGAAAGCTAACTTTAAACCTGACACTAATTACCCTATAATGCCTCAAGTATCATATTTGATACATATGGATTCTGAAATGTTTTGCATCTGAGACCTTTTGCATCATTTAATGGTAAAAAAGTATGCTCAAAACCCTCTTGTACATAATCCCATGTACCAGATAGCAGCAGGCAGAAGACTACACGTAAATAATTTTGACTTATTACGCAGAAATGAATTATGAATACGTTCTTAAAGAATACATTGTTAAAGGGCAGAATAAAGATGTCAAACAAAAATATATTTTCTCTATTTATTTCTTGGATCAGGCTTTAAAGGGTTAAGTATGGTAACTCTGTTTCTACTTTTTGACTGGAAACGGCAGCCTTCTTACATATATGTCAGAGCAGACGAGCCCAAAATCTACTTTGGCATGTCTTTTTTTAATTGCACTCATCTCCTCACTTATTCCTACTGACTGAAAGAGCAGTAGATTTAGTCTTTTAATAAGAAGTAATCAGTACATACATTTTTAACGTATGAGTACATCTGTTCCTATTTATTTTCCTGACATTTCTCTACATCAGGGATATGCTGTGCACAGTCCTGTGATGATAATAACTCACGACAAGACCAGAAAAAAATATAATAACCGCGTATCTAGAGCACCATTAAGGCCAAGCGTTTGGCACGCGTAGTTTACTCTCTATATTTTTGCCTTGTTAGAGGACGTTTTAGTCCTTTTAACTAATGACACTGTAACACGTAAGACCCCCTTTAAAAACAAGGGCAAAAGTCTAAAGATGTGAGAACAGCAAGACTGTTTCTCTTTATGAAACACTAAATTAAACTTTGGCCTGAGAACATTCAGGCCTGAGTGCAAATGACACGTGAGGTATCCTCTTAAAATTTGCTGCAGCAACTAAATTTTGGAAAAAAGCACATAAAACGGTGTGTAATTTAGTAAGCTTGCATCAAAAGCTCGTGAATAAAATTTAGAATACTGTGTTTAAAAAAATACATAAAAAAGAAAACATATAAAAGATAACTCAATGAAACTTTGACCGGCTTTGTCCTCGTGACATGATTAATAGTTTTTGGCTTAACTGCTGCATTCACATTCATGGTTCTGCTTCAATAGTTTTTTTTTTTGTGCAACAGCAAGACGTTTCTTGGGTACAACTTGCATAGCTTTAAAAAAAAACAAAAAACAAAATAAATAAAAAAATGAACAAATCCAACAAAAACACTGTAGCTTATACATTACAGTGAGTAATGTATCTAACTGCTTCTAGTAAGTCCTATCTAACAGGGCTAACCGGCAAATACTATGAAACCAGGCTGCCTTCATCAAGGTGATGCTTCACCCCTCCATGCAGATACTAATCTATATAATTCACACATAAAAAAAAGAAGAATTGACCAAAAAGAAGAAACTAAACAACAATCTTATACGGCAAAATTTAACTGATTTTAAGACGAAAAAGGTCGGTATTTTCAATGCACACTCACGTCCTATTGAGTATGTTTTCATCACATATTTAGTGTGAAGAGATAACGTCCAAGCCCTTGGTTACAACAGAGGCTCACTGCGTAGTGTGAACAACACGAGAGTCTGAGCTAGAAATTGGTGGCTGAAAACAGAAGACACACTACCCCCCCACAACAAACAGGTCTTAAAGTCAATGCCTTTTTTTTTTTCTCGCAAGTCTTTAAATTGTCATTAATCTGATTCAGTCCTTCTAATCACTGTGATTGCTGTTATTTTGAGAACAATTCCATAATCTGACTGAGGAGGGGGAGAACAAATACTAGAACTGAAGCTAGTGAGTGACATTATCTCTCTGACATGAACTCGACGGCTTCAGTTTGAGTTACCTTTGTAACTTTGTTGCTATGGCTCCTAAAATAACAGGAAAGAGGACTCTGATCTGATTAATACAAAGAACCAATGGTAAAACCAAAATAATAAAATGCACACGTGCAAAACTCTCTGGACTAAAAACACATATCATGTGCAAATTCTCACCTTCTGGCTCCTCTCGTGATACAAAAAGACTCCACAAAAATACGGAACAAAAAGCGTGGCCTTGGAAACAGTACCTAAATAACAAAAGCACATGGCACTGTTTGTCGGTGATGCTAGTTTGTGATACCGGGCAGCTTGAGAAAGAACAAAACACTTAGATAACTTTAATATGAAGACTACTGTAAATATACTGTCTGTAGAGGCCTGTTAAGGAAGCAACACTGGATGGAGGTTTGAGTAGTGAGGCAGAACCTGTGATGAAACTGACTAGTTGGGCTAATTTTGGTTCACGTTTCTTCAGGATACATTGTTTGCGGCGTATATAAAACTGAATATATGCATATCAGAAAAATATCAAACTGGTATATTTCTAGAGTAAATAGCTTCTTTTAGACTAATACATAAAACGATATAACAATAGATTATAGACATTCACAACAGGTGCTTCCCCGTTTTTAACCAAAGCCTCTGGTTCTTTGTGGGAGCTGAACGAAAACTGTGTCCAGAGCTGAGGCCTCCACCTGAGAGACGTCCTGATCTGTCTCTTTGGCTTCATCTGGAGATGATAACAGGGTTTTTTTTTAACGTATCATCAGCATTCTTGCATGTCTCTGACGGGATCAATCAGACTCACCTTTTTTCAGAACACAATAGAGAAAGCAGAAGAGAGAAAACAGATAGATGAATGTGATTAATTTCAAGATGGCGTCTGGCAGGTCAAAGAGTGCTAGGCGGGAAAAAAAGACACACAGGCACAAGTTCAGAGTTTTGTTGACTGCTGTGTGTGTTATTGACTTGCAGATTTACTCCTACCCATCCTACCTGTTTTAATATGCAAGGTGACAGGATTATCTCGAAGCGTTCTGTTCCCACCGGTCACGCTGTCGGGCCGAACAACCACAGCCGATATCTGTATGAAGTACTCAGCGGTCAGGGTTAGGTCGGAGATTCTGATGCGAATGACGGAAGAGTTGTTGGCGAAAGGGTAGAGGAGGTGCGTGTCGCCAGTGGACTGGCGTATTGTAACGTCGTAGCTGTGAGGGATCTGAAGCATGACCGCGGAGACGTTCCAGCTGAGCGCCACGTGGTCAACACCCACCGACTCCACGGTCACTGACTGGGGGGTGACTGGACCTGTGGGAGCAAACGGGTCAGAGAAAGCTTAACGGCCACTTTTGCACCGACATTTTAAGGCTTTTTCTTAACACAGTGTTATGTCTCTCAGCCTTTTAAACACAAAATAGTTTTGAAGCACAACACAGGAGCTTTGAAGTGGACACGGCTAGAATAGAATTTCTTTATCATTCAACAGATTATTAACCCGATTCTTTAGTTGGAAACCTGAAACTATACCAGAGTAAACCAAAAGTACAAAAATAACATTTATTGGACACAGTTAAGTATATTTTTGGTATATATTAGCGCTAGGCTCTTCACAGACAGAAAACGTCTCTCTGGGTCTCAGTTGGCAAAGGGCCCCGAGACCTGGGCGTGATGGGCATTATCTCCTGGGCTCGATCCGCCTCCTCATTGGAGGACTGGACACAACCAAGTCCTATTGGCCAGTTACCTCTGGGCATAAACAGGCCAGGCCCTAATTCATGCAGATGACATTGGAATGTGGTAACAAATGGTGTGTATGTGTGGACCTAAAGGTCTGGATCTAATGCAACAGGGAAAGAAAATGAGAGAAAAGAAGAGTCTGTGGGCACAAAATATAGTTCTATAAGGAAATAAAACCATCACTAATTATCATAGATCATGTGATAGCATACAATGCTAAAGTGAGCAATTATACCCAAATTCTAACATCATGATGATGTGTTTTAAAGAATGCCAGCACAGGTGGAACAAGCAATGCAACTCTCCACCTTCCATTACCTACCCTGACACACAGCCATGTGTTGCTCAGTGCAGTGGCGAGCCAGCAGCTTGTCGTTTTTTAACATGGCCTCCAGACTTGCGCACTGGCCCTCGTAGTTCTCCCTGTACCAGTGTTGGTATCCCAGCTCTTCCCCGCTGACCCACCTCCACTCGGGGGCGATGGGCCGCCGCCGCAGGCCCAGCCAGAAGCTGACTTTGCTTTCAGAGGTTGCATCGAGGAGGGTGAAGTATTTCTCCTCGGAGTTCAGGACGGCGAGGTCCACGTAGTGCCTCTGGCAGAACTCCCGGGCTCGGAGCCACGACATGGGGCTTTGCACTAAGAAGTACTGGGAGGTCACATGGCCTGCTGCGAAGCCATGGCAGACCACTGAGACATGATGAGAGAAACAGAATCAGAGGGAAACAGATCAATCAATGCTAGTTGCATTGGGCTGGTTAAACATAACTATTACATTTATTTGTTTTAATTGAAATGATTAGAAATGTTTTTTGAAAATGATCAAGTTTAAGTGGCATTTACCAAGAACAGCCAGCCTCTGGAGAATCTGCACCTCACGGGCAGACATACAGTAAAGTAAAGTGTATTCCCGGTGGAGGACGGGCCCCGTTTCCCTCCTTTTCCGCAGAACAGCTCACGATATGCCGGGCAGCACTTCCCAAACCTTGTTCGGTGTTCCGCACCATGTGACTCATGCTCTGTCCTCGTTGTCTGCCAAAACTTCCGCTGCTTGGGAAGTTTATATAGTCGGCTCACACGATCGTATGATGCAAGGCGTGGATAGAGTGGGAGTGTCCAAAACTGACAGAAAATTCTCAATGAATATATTTCAAATGGCTTCCCCCCCTAACCCCAAAATGAAGGTTTTAATGTTCTTATACTCCTACGGCATTCTATGTCCCAAAACAAGCATTCCTGAACGTTTGCACCACATTTAAGTAAGCAGTTACAGTGGGGATCCAGACAACAACAGAATCCCGTGACAGAATGCTCTGCTTCAACCAGCTAAGCAAAGGTTAGTAAATGAACACCTGAGCACAAAGGCGGGAAGCATTTATAGGATGATCTAAAAATAAGGTGGACTAGCTCCGCCCCTTGAGCTTTTTTTTTTTTAAAGCAGCTTTGATAAGATGATATCATCACAGTGGAATGAGCTTTGTTTGACATGATTTCGTAATCTGTTCAGTTGGTTGGCAAACACAGCTGGTTTGAAATTCCCATTAATAAGAAGAGCAAGGTGGCATGCAGGGTGAAGCCAGCCCCTCCTTGTTACCTGGATCAAAGAATTCACCTCTTTACAGACATGGCAGTAATCAGGGTTTGGGGCTAAAAACTACTAATTAAACTCACATTTGCTGGGATGCAGTACACCCTAAGCCCCGATTCCGCCTCTTGGTTAAATACTCTTGTGAAACCTGTTCATCTAGTTTCTGCAAGTCTGGTGGTGTGTGCTCTTATCTAAATAATCAAGTGCCTCCAAGTTTTTTAATCATCGCCATGGTCTCAGATTTGTTAGTTTTCTGTATTCTGGTTGGTTAGGCAGTGCTCAAGGCAAGTCTCTGCTTTGACCTATTTGTCAGCAGGAAAACAAACATGCTTTAAGGACGCACACAAAAAAATTTCAAGAATATATTTGTTCTGGTTAAGTCTTTGCAGATTGTTTGTGGTAAGATGGCTAAAACCGCACGTTTTGCACCCTCGCAGTTACGCATATGTTTCTGTGAACATGTTACCCATGTGCGATGTAAAGCCCTATCTTTACATAGGAAGTCTTGACCACATTTCTTTGCACACTGTGTTCTCTTGTGAGTTTTCTTGTAACATGCTTGAGGGTGACAAATATTTAACACTCCCCCTTTGCAAAGAGGACTTTAACCTAGTTTTTGTTTATGTGTAACTGAAGTCGACTTGCTCTGCGTGTTTCACACCATCCAAAACAAACCACAATGCATTCCGTTTCTTTGTCAAACAAAATCAAACAAAAGTGCCTTTAGAAAATAAGTTTATTGAGAGAAGTCACGCTTCTCAGCAGTAAATCTTAAACAAAAAGCTGAGGAAATAAGTCAGATTCACAGTTTCAGTAGAGGGATAATTCTCCCCCCCCCCCTCCCTGTGTTTAGTCCAGAACAGAGAGTCAGAGATCAGGAAGCCTCCACATTAAAATAGTTCTACAGGTCCCAGATGTGAAAGCGCTGATCTGCTCCGGCAGAGAAGATGTGAGTGTTTTGGGGGTTTATGGCCACGTGTAGAACTCTTTCAACATGACCTGAATGGTGAAAAATAGCATTTAACGCTCAAATGTCCCCAATGAAAACAATATGTAGCTGTCTCTACAGAAAGGAACAGTTCTGACCAACAGTAGTCGAAGAATTAGGAAAGCATTGGTGACACTTTGCCACCCTATGTCAAGAGTTTTTTCTACTTTTTGTAACACCAGTTCCTTCTGACTTTTATCGGTACAAAGTAGCTTTTTTATTCTTGGGATTTCTCATTTCAAAATAGCAACAGTGAAGAGACTAAATACATTTTGGACAAATGAACCAAGACACCACCTTAACATTTGTGAACAATTAACATTTTTTATGACTTTTTCAGGCAGCAGTTCAACATGTGAACCTTCCTTTGTCCGAATCAGTCAAAATACAGCAGCGGGCCATGATAGAGCATGTAATCTCTGGCAGTGCTTCACTAAAAGTTTCATATTCACTGAAAGCCCAGGTCATGAATGAGTCAGCACAAACGGGCTTCAGAAGAAAATAACTCAGTTGAAGATGACAGATGTGTTGTGTTAATATTACTCAGGGGGTCCAATGATGCAGTCCGCGTATGCCTATGAGGGTGGTGCTTTAGCACCTAAATGGAATCTATGGTTTTCTTACCTGTGAGCTGGCAGATTTGGGTGAGCGAGGGAAACTCCCAGTTCCAGGAGGTGACTTGGCAATGGGGAAGACCATGACCCGTGACAAGACATTTCCTCTTTTCAGCCCATCGAAGAGAACAGATCTACAGAATTGATCCATAATGAGTGCACTCCGCAGCATTTTCTAATACCAAAAAAAAAAAAACTTCTGACAGACTTTAAGCCACAAGCACCTGTGAATTTGTATTGACGGAAGTCAAGCAAGTCCCAGAATGTGTGTTCCAGATTCTAAGCTCGCCGTCTTTCCATCCTCCTCCTGTAGCAATAACATCTCTCTGCCATGGACACCATCCCAATGCCTACAGGCACCGAAATATGATGACAAAACACATTTCACCTGAGTGAAATAAAATGCTTAAGCAAACCACTGTATGCTTTTCAAGTCTGCAGGAGACAAATATAAAGCACTATCAGGTCGTGTTTTCATAAATGGGTCTTGGTCGATTCCCACATTAATTATTTGGCACTTCCACGCTCCCGAAATGAAGCATTTGAACAATGAATGCACTGCCACAAACTTATCATCATATCATTATCTTTTGTATAGTGCTTTCATAAGTTACTTTAACTTTAGGATCCCATTTATTCTAATGTGGTTTCATGATAAACATTTGGTGTTAAAGGTGATGCCATCATGTGACATGTAATGATGGCCAATGCTGGAAGAAGTTAAAAACATGGCAAAAAAATGGATGTTTATCATAAGCTTTATAATTGTGAGCATGTTTGTATTTTTGATCAAAGCAACGCAAAATTATGGTTAAAAAAAAGCCCTATTTTGAATGATATTATTTATGAATACAAAAATAAGAATCTTCCAGCTCTCCCTTCTGGATTTCAGATACCTTAACAGCACTGGGCTGTTCCATTGTCCTGACTGGCTGACGTGACCATTTTATCCCTGAGACATCCCCATCCCAGATATGGAGAAGGCCATCAGGGGAGCCACTGGCCAGCTGGTCACCTCCCGGTGACCACTCCAGACTGCAGATCGACTCCCTCTGAACGGTTGCACCTACCATGGATGAAGGAGCCCGGAGGTCAAAGTGATGGACGTGTCCCAGAGTAGAACCGCTTTGAGATCAGGAACACTGTTAGCTAACAGAGAAAATGCTGTTTTTTGCTGACACTTTGTTCATTTCAATGTGAATATTCTGCCTTGTCTTTATGAAGGCTGATTAACACACAGTTCAATTCAACCTAAAACTAAGTCAGAAATGACATAGAACATTGCTCAAATTACAAGTACTTGTTTCTAGTGATGTGTAAGATCAAGTACCTGCTTAGTAGATGCTGTTTCCAAGAAAGGGCTGACACCCCAGACTGATGTGATTTCAGGTATCTCATGTTCTGCTTGTGGTCAACGTCCCACAGCTAAATTGTCAAATAGAAACACAGAAATACCACAAACCGTCATCCTGCTGATTTAGCTCGATGTCACATTTCCCCTCTCAGAGACCACCAGAGTTCTTGTTAAACAGCTTACAGCCATCGTGCAGTCACAGATGCCAGTTTACCTGCACTTGTCCCAGTCTGGTCCCCATGCAGAGAGTTCTGCCGTCTCGGCTCCAGCACAGACATGAGATGGACAGATTGTTAGAGTGCAGCCGGCCCGGGTCTGGACCGGGCACCAAATGTCCCACCAGGGAGTGAGTTTCTGAATTCCAGATGTAAACAGATGAGCCCAGCGCCAATGCGATCATGCCATTACAACTGCAGTCGAGAAGGCTTGTGTCTGGGGGAAAAAAACACGAGAAAATTGATAGTAAACGTAAAATTATATCTGGTTTGATAAACTTTTTTTTTTTTTAAATAAAAAGGTTTCAATACAGGCTCTCCAGCTAAAACAGACAAAAATGTCTCACTTTTAAAAACCTTCTGATGTTGACTTCCTCCACTGGGCATTTAAAAAAAAAAAGGTGTAATGGTTTGAATAAAGGTTGGCCTTCATGAACAAGCAATTGGTGGGGCTGTTTGAAAATCAGTAAGGAAATTCTATTTCAACAGTGTGTTATTACTGATTGCATTCAGTGAACACAGGAACAGAAAAATTCTGTGTGCTACTCTGGTTTGTTACAACGATTTTCATGAGGTCACAATTATTCTACAAGCGAGACTATTCCCAACAGGACGCACAAATCTCTTTGCGACTATAAATGCTTTTATGTTCTCTTACAGTAATTGTTTAGGATTGACGGGGCCGCCAAGGTCCTCACTGACTGTCCCTCACCACTCGAGCCGGTGGTCAAACTCGCAAAAGGCAGGAAGTCGGGCCTTTTCTCCTCCAAACCTGCAGTTACAAAACACCAATACCATAAACTGATAAACATACAGGCAAAAGTCCAGTCATTATCACTGAAACTAAAATAAAATGCTTATGTGGACCAGAAATTATGAGGCATATAAAGATTTGCTAGCTACAGTAAATAAAAGGTTATTGATCGCATATCCATGCTGCCTCCTGCAAAAAAAACTGAGCGAGGGAACATAAAAAGCTGAATGGAAGCAAAAAGGTGTGCCCTGTCATTGTTGAAAATGTTGCGAAGTCTGCGCTTAGATGCATCTAACCACGACACGTGCTTGGGTGATTACGAAGTTTTAATCGTGCCACTGAATATGCGATTACAATAAACATGTTCATTGTGAAGCCAAGAGGGTTGTCTGATTATCAGATGGCAGAACATGTAAAAATAACACAAGCGGCTTGTAAACATGAACATTGTCATTAAGCTCTTCTTTGTGGTTTCCTGGTGTGGCATTAGGCAGTATCGCTCTACATATCATTCAGACGCTTTCTGCTGTGCTGTACCAGTCAGTTGAGGGTTCCTCTGTGCTTCAACTGCTGTCCTCCACACCCACTCCACCTGTGGCGAAAGCACATTTTTTCACATCGATCAAATGTCTGATTATTCTTTTTCCTTTTTCCTGTTTGCAGGTGAGATAAATATCCAATAAATCATCTTCCTTCCACAGACCTGTTCCGGGGACTTTCCCATGTCAGTCAGTCCTCTGGTTCTGACTGGGCTCCCCTGAGTGGTATTTGGGGTGTCCAGGGCTACGACTGACCCACTGCCGTCCTCCACAGTTAAAGCCACTTCTGCAGAAACACAATAACACAGAAAAGGTTGACGTTTGGAGAAATTAAAGAATAAAAGTAATGCTATAGAAAAGCTGATGCTGATATTTTGCAGCTCTGAAAAAGTCTGATGCTTTGGGCAAAATTAATCTAAAAAATTATGGTCCCTGCCTTTCATGAGGACTTCCCTTTTCCATGTCCATCTACCATGGAGAGTTCTTGTCGCTGACCGAGAACACACACTCTGGAGAAAATATTCCCCGATAACACTATAAGTGTAGAATTCTATTTCAAATCCCGAAGACAGCAATCCAATCATGCACCGGTGGGACAAATGAGAGAGATTTAGGCAGGCTCTACCTCACAAAGGACAGAGATCATTAGATCTGGTACTGACCGTTTGGTACCTGTTAATAAAGCATGTCTTTCAGAGGCCTAAGCCCATGTCTGACCAGAGAAGGGCAGCTATAGAGAAAGGATGACCCATCCAACATTAGACAGCTGATGATAATCTCATGAATATGAAAAAAGTTTTTTAAAATCCTCAATATCATGCACATAGAGCGGCTAATTTCTGTGTTTTTTCTGAGCAGAATGTTGTACAGTGACGTAATACCTTGAAGGTTTCCTTGTTGGACTTTAGTCTTGCTCTCCTGAACTCTGGGAGGAGATTCCAGTTCCAGCCTCCTGCAGACGTTGTCAAACTCAAAGCCTGGATCACACTGCCACCCAGGGGCCACTGGTGTGCTGGCAGCAGGACCCTGGCCGCTGCCCTTCTGGAGGATCCTCCTTCTGAAGCGTTTGTATCTCACCCCATTGGACTCGCTTTGTCCCTGTGGAGAAGAGCATTGTGTGATCATTCCAGAATACTCCTGTCAGTGATCAACTATCAACTTCACACTTCATACTTGGTGAAACTATTGAATATTATCACCACACACTTTTTGGAGAAAGACAAAAAAACAATTTCCTGTCAGGACTTTCAAAACAAAAGCTTAGATAGCTATTCATTTGAAGAGTTGGTCCCAGATGACCATAAATTTACATGATGAAAAACCAATCAACAATGCACACGGCTAACTTGACTTATTTTCCCCTGATTTAATCTTAGCTACTATCTGAGAAACAAAGACACTGTTTAGTGGTGTTTACAAAGGTCACAAGGTCATCTGTGTTTATTCTCCATGCAGGTAAAGTATTAAAGATCACCCTTAATGGTTTACTTCAGCTCCTTCTCGATTTAATTATGTTTTTCTCAGGTCTCAATGAGTTAAAAGTTTTATATTCAGAAAAGCTACAATTGCAACAGCTGCTTAGAAAAAAGTATTTGTGTTTACCATCAGCAGGGTGCTTTTGACTGTAGAGGCTAAATTAATTATCAGCCAACAGGAAGTCAACCAAAGAAATCTGAGCTGCAGCTGTACAGTTTGAAAAGGAAAACATACTCATAGCAAACCTTTGTGCCTAGAATAAACTATAACAAGAATGTAATCTCTTGATCACAGCTGAACCAAAGTAGTTTCATGGACTTTTAAGCCGCAGTTTGTAATTGATGGATTAGTTACTTTATACCTACAGCTGTTTAATTTTGTTTTATTCACAGGCAACATTTTATGTTCTTTTCATTTAAGTGCCATGTTTGAATAGTATGAAGACACTGCTAATAGAAATGAAGCCAGTTTTCTGTGCAGCTGTTGTTTTTTTTGTGTTTTTTTGTGCTGGAATTGATATGATTATTAAAATATCCTGACCTTCAACATTTTAATTTTTTTTTAGAAGATCTGTGCCATAAACACTTCACCAAGGGCATGTCACTTTGAGGAAAGTGAGATAAATGTGGAGATTGACAATCTGATCTTGCCTATTTTAAAGTAAGCAAACTTAGATTTAGTTCTTTATTTTTAAGGCGACGTAAGGCAGAGTGTAATTCCGGTTTTTCGTGGTTTTTCCAACTAACTTAACACTGATTTTTTTTTTCTTTTTTGCAGGTCCGCCCCGGTACTTGAAGTCCCCGCAAATACTTCCACAGCACCCCCTCCAAGATGGAGGCGCTCGGAGGTTATCCCACCAAGTCCTCCAGCCCTAAAGCCAAAATGTTACGGGTCCTGCTCAGCATGACAGTCGGACTGGGCTGTTTGTTCCTCTTGCAAACCCAGCTACTGAAACCCAGAAAACCCAAGGACTTTTACTCTTTTGAGGTGAAAGACGCGAAGGGGAGGACAGTTTCTCTGGAGAAGTACCGAGGAAAAGTATGTCCACATCATCACGGCAGCCGTTTGCGTAAAAGGGACAAATTTGCGCACGCTTTGCGCAAAACCCAGCTGAAGGATCTTTATCTTCTCTCTTTCTTTTTAAACGTATTTTTGCTTTGTTAAAGTCGTATTGGGTGCAGCGTTTCCTAACATTTGCGTGGCATTTGCAGGCATCGCTGGTTGTAAACGTGGCGAGTCACTGCGAGCACACAGAGGCCAACTACCGGTCCCTGCAGGAGCTCCACCGGGAGCTGGGCACGTCGCACTTCAACGTCCTGGCCTTCCCCTGCGGCCAGTACGGGGACACGGAGACCGGCTTCAGCCGAGACATTGAGGCGTTTGCCAAGGCCACCTACGGCGTCACCTTCCCCTTCTTCAGCAAGATCAAAATAATGGGAACGGAAGCTGACTCTGCCTTCAAGTTCCTCACAGGTTGACAGAAGTATATATAGCCTGCATATATAAGTATGCAAACATACATATGTTTGTTTCAGCCAAGAGAGCCATTCAGGAAATGGTTGATATGTTTTGTAAATGCATGTTTCTGCTGCATTCACAGCCACAATTGAGCAGGTTTCCTCTAGGAACAACAGTCTGGAACTCATTTTGAACCTCAGGTTAAGAAATAACTGCCTTCCAGAACCTTAACAGTCTCACATAAGCATGGTATCTATCAGTAAAGGAGAAGTGTCTCACACCTGAAGGGTACATGGGGATAATTCAAACGATTTTACGACGATGTAGCTGCAAACACACGATAGTATAATTAATAAGTGAGAACCACGTTTTGCTGCTTCATGCATGTGAGATTCACTTTAGAAAACTTTACAAAATTTTTCTCTAAAGAAATACAGAAATATTCAACAATCCCGCGGAGCCACAATGAATGCCACATGAATATGTCATTTCTGACATAGTTAAATTAAAGTTCCTATTTAAGGCAGCTGAAGGTTACTGTCTAGTTTGCTTGTTGTTTTTTAAACCACTTTGTAAAATGATTTATCTTACACCCCCCAAAAGCTGAAGGCTGTCTGAAGTTTATGTAAAAGCAGACCAATATTTGAGCCAAATTTCATGACACATTTGATCTTTTGTTGAATTTGATGGCTGCAAAATGCACGAAAAGAGAGGTTTTCTCTCAGACATGTACCAGCATGTGTTTTAACTAGCATGTGTTTTAAGATGGAACTTTAGTAGGGAAATGTTAAGTTTTCTCATAGAGGATCACAACCACCCTTTAGTCTTGTGCTTTTCATGTTGCAAAACATCCAGATGTTCAAATTTTTGATATTATTCACTGTAGACGATGTAACAGCAAAGTCCATCGTGTTTACATTGACAGTATTATGAAATGGCTCCACAATTTGTGGAGTATTTTTAGCTGATTGATTAATCGACCCGTCTGATGTGCTCCTAAAATGCCCAGCCACGCCACCAAACTCTCTCCAAATAAACTAATAGTTACGGCTCCTGCTCAGTTTTTGACGTTTCCAGTTTCCTGTTGTTGCCCCAGTCCCAAACATTTTGAGATGTTTTGCTGCCATTATTTAGTTCAAGGTTTTCAGTGTCGACTAACAGTCACAAAACCAAAATGTGGTGTTTTTCTGTCATGTCCAGAGCTTCATATGAGTAATTATTTAAGGCTTGTTTGGGCTGTTTAAACTGTGAAACGTTCCTAAGTACCTATAAGCATGTTTTATGGACTGTTTATGGCCTTTTAATCCAATACACGCTGCACACTCTTTAAAAAAAGTGGTTGTTTTGGACTAGGCAAAGATTAGATTAACACAAAGCTAACACAAAATTAATAAGTGCACTGTAATTTGTTTTTGTCCATAGATTCTGTCCAGAAAACCCCAAAGTGGAACTTTTGGAAGTTTCTGGTGAATCCAGAAGGGGCAGTTGTCCGCTTCTGGCGAACGGACGAGCCCGTTGAGAGCATCCGCCAGGAGGTGGCGGCGCTGGTGCGGGACATAATCATAAAGAAACGGCTGGAGCTATGATGGTTGAGAAACACGGGACACGCTGCAAAGTTCCTCCTCTCTGAGCTGTGACAGCCAGGAACGACTGAACGTTTACCAGCGAGTGTTGCTGGGAGATGCGTTGCTCCAGAAACACACCGGATTATCCACTTTTCAACCACACAAAGGTAGAGATAGTCATTCAGGGCTGGTCAGAGTGTGTTTTTGTTGAGATTCTCTTTAGTGTGTGTGTGTGTGCGCGTGTGTGTTGGTACCATTCTGTGGTTAATAATGACAGGTGTGATGAAAATGCCTTACAGTGACCACTACAGTTGTTTTTCACCTTTTTTAAAAAGTTTTTGCATTCCCTACAAATGTTCAGATTGCCTCAGTGGTGTACTTGCTACTTGCTACTTTCATTAAAATCTCCTTTTTAAAATCATTTTTAGCCTTTGTTGACTGATATGAGACACGAAAAATTAAGCTACATTTATGCAATCGTTCAATTATTTCATTGGGTTCAAAGAGCTGTCAAAACGTTGTTCTTTTGCATAAAAACAGGCTAAAAATAGTATTTTTTAAGTGATTAACACAAGCTCTTAATCGCACATCAGAGTAGACAGAGGTAAGTGGCGGTTGCAGATGTTTCCTGCAGCTGTTGATTTAATGGATAGTGGGAGGGCAGCAGCAGGTGAGCTGGCACCTGAAGAATCCACCAGCTAACGAGACACTGCCTTCACACCGTCCAAACATGGGACAGAGAGACTGGCCCTTAAATCTACCGGTGGTCTGACCTGCCGACAGCTGGACTTCTGCCTCCTCACAAACAGATCCGGGCAAAGTTGCCAGACGTATCGAAAAAAACCTTGTTCGGTGGGAATCACGCCGTCCCTTTGGGACCGTTCGGGCAGCAGAGCAGTGTGAGCTGACGGGCAGAGAGGTCAGCTAACATTACACTGCCTCCCGACCAGTCCCAGCTCAACGGCCTGCTGTCAATGAGGACACACGCTGACCGGCCTGTACGAAATCTGCCCCTCTTACCTTTACGGAGGGTGGTCTCCTCTTTCCGGTAAAACTTCCGAGCATCCTCCTGTCATTGGGAGAAAATAGAAAACCTCAGGTCATCGTCACGGAGGAGAACTTTTGACTCTTTGGATGGTGGTTCCGGCCTCTTGGTGGGGATGTTACGCATTGTTGCAGCGGCAGAAAAACAGTTGACAAAAAGCACACTGGCACACAAAGGCGAGTATCAAAAGTGACATGAACGACTGCTTTCAGATGAATATGACCTGACGTGTGTTGATGTAAACCTGGTAAACCTGACCAGAGTGGTGGGATTGTTTGGAGTTTGAAGTGGTTGCCTGGTAGCAGCAGCAACAGGAACTTAAAAAATGACTCCTGATTTTAGAGGCTGAGATATTTCAGTGCCAAATTATGATTTACTCACCCTGTTTCCATCAGTCAGACTCCGGTTAAGCTTATCGTTGCAATGTCTATGTAAAATAGACTTTTTTCTCCTCTTTTTACCCTGAGACGGACACTGGTGGCTGCTCTACCTGATGTCTGCTCCTCCTGCTCATTCTCCTGTCTCCTAAGTAGTCCTGCAGGGCGCACAGCGGAGCGGGAAGCACCGGTCTCTGCTCGGCCATTGGCTGCTAGGTGTTTTCTCTCTTTTTAATTATTCTCCTTCAAGGATGCTGTCCGCGTCCCGGTTTCCACTGGAAACAAACAGACAAAGTCAAAAAGGAGCGAAGCGGTAACGTTTTAAAGGTGGAGGCGGCAACGTGTTATCAGCCAAGGACAAACTGTCTCTGTCTTATTCCTCCGAACGGTGGTGTCACTTTACGCAGAAAAAAAAACTCAGATAAAGGTGTCGTTTGTTTGCAGAGAATATTGTTCTAATGGCATCAGAATATTTGGACTAAACGTTAGTTTGACAAAGTCAATGAGCGAAGCTGGGAGGCATGACAACAATAATGCTTGACGATAGAAATGAAGTAGAAAAAAAGCATTCCGGACGCCAGAAAATTAAAAACATTTAGACTGCTGTGGTTTTAAATGGGAACTAGCTCATTAGGCGCTGGCACCTGAGGATTAGGCCACTCTGGCGCAGTGCGGGACTGTGGCGCTAAATGTGCGGAACGGCGCGCCCTGCGCGCACGTCCTGAGCCACCTGTCGCGTCCATATGGGCTCGCGCCTGGAACCGAGGCGCAGGTGCGTGCGCGAGCAGGCAGCTGAGCCACCACCACCACAGAGGTCCGCGGTTTGGCTTTTCCCAAAGAGTTGCAGTTTAGTTTCCAACCTCTCTGAAAATCAGCAGCCTCTGCTTACAAAAGATACACAAACACTGTTGTTGCCTTGCAAATATTTTCACAATTTCTATACCTTTAAGTTTCTTCTGATGCTAATTAAGTCGTTTTTCCCTTTAAACCACACTAATGATTTATTATGTGTTCAAGAATAGCTTTATTCTCTATTTCAGGTGACGCAGCCGTATATCTGCCACAGACTGACCTTAGATCAAATGTTTTCCATTTAATCTGTCCCAACATCATCATCCCTCTATAGAAAGACATTGATGATATTACTATATAGCTCCTGTTTCCCGCGAGGCCCGGTCTGGTAGGCACCTCGCCTCCAGGCTTGGTTTTTGGTCACCTTAGAAACTTCATTGTGTCTGTATTTTCCTCCCCCCCCCTCCCGCATCGTCCCCCGCAGCTTGGCGGTAGCTTAACCGGTCAGATGTGTCCCAGTCAGCTTAACAAACCTTCGCCCCGCGCAGCTGCTCTCAGCAGACGCCTTTATGTTCAGGAGGACGTGGATTCGCTGGCTCTGTTGGTCCATTTTGATTAAAGCGAAACACAGCAGCCGAAAATTGGAGCATCTGAGGCATGTGGCCTATATTTGGGATTTGTTTAATTGTCTGAACAGCATATAGGAATGATAGATAGGAGGTGTTATCAATTAAAGATTATTTAAGTGAAAGAACTTTGTGCTTTGGAATATGCATATCCCAAAAGGTTTATCATTCATTCCCACATGACCAATTACAATTTTCTGGATTAAACTGATAAATGAATCATGATGTGACTAAAACAATGTAAATCCATATCTCTAACTCATGAAGTTAGATCAAGCATCCTCTTAAATGTTAGTGAACATAGAGCTCCTCTCTTTTAGAACCATGCTGTTGTTGCCTTGTGGTTTCTTTCTTAAAAGAAGGAAGTATTATATTGTGTTATTATATTATGGCTTTATGTTATGCCTGCACCTCCAATGGAGGCTCTTATAGGAGTCTGGACAAACATTTGGTTTAACTGGATTATAAGTGGATGACACCAAGATGAATCTGGTCTCTAATGATAATGACTAAACTGAGCACAACTGAATTAATGTACGTTTTCACAGTTTAAAAGACGCCAAGCCTGGTTGTCACTAAGCTTCTTCTTATCAGTGTTTGAGTAGTAAAGTGTTCGTGGCGGCGGCAGCAGCCCTGCAGTCGAAGCTGCTGTGTTTCCTTCACCACTTCTGGACAAACATCCCCGGTTTTGTGGAAGTTTAAACAGGTGCCTGACCTGAAATTTCACATTGCTCAGTGTATCAACTGTTTACAGCCGAAAGTGTCAAAGGTAGTGTCAGTAGAGAGATAACATGACTGTTAAAGGTGAAAGGTTAAGCTTCTTTAGCTTTTGGCTAATTTTCCCAGTTCTGATTTATGCTGTAAACTTTAGATGACTCTTTTCTACTATTTTTAAAAACCAGAAGTGGTGTTTATAATCCAAACCACTTGCAGGGTGGTGAAGAAAGCTAATATATCATGCCATCGGGTCAAACAAAATTTGTTTAAATATCCAAAAAGGACATAAACGAGGATTTGTGCTGCGATGCATCAGACACAGGGTCTCCATTCAGACCACTCAGTCACACAGACGGAGACAAAAGGAAAGGAAGTCTCTGCTCTTAAAACAGGTCACGAGGTTACATTTGCTTCACTGCTCCAAGGAAAGGTCACGAAGAAAGGTTTCACTTACCATGAATCGGAATAGCAGGTATAGAAAATGTACATATGTGTTTTAAATGTTTTACATGTCATCCAAATATCAGGCAAAGAAAAGCTCTTTTTAACTAAAAAAACATGTTTATTAGCACACAAATATGCACAGGTATATACATATTTCAGGACACTTTTAGGGGTGTAAACAAATCTGCAATGTAAACAACCAAGAGGGCAGTATAATTATTTGCTTCGACTGATTTCATAGCAAAGCTACCTGAGGAGGACATCATTTAATCATTTACAGATGTAACTATGGATTAATAGTTAAGCATTAACAGTCTGCTGCCGGCCTACATTCCCATACGTTCGTTTACAGATTCATCAAACCTCCCTTAACTGAAACCGCCCGCGTCTCACGTTTCAGCTGCAGTTGGGAACCCAGCGGAAGCGGAACCCGCCCTGCTGCGTTCTGGAGGTGAACGCGTGTCCGTGAGGGAAGGCCTGAGTTCTGATGGTGCTGTGCTCTCTGACGGACGTTCTGAAGGATGAGACCCCGTCTCCATCCTCGGCCGCGGTGGTGCCGCCGTCCCTGGGTGTGGACACCTGCAGGCCGGGGAAAGCACCGTGCACGCGGATGGTCTCGGCCTCCTGCAGCTGTTTTGGGGCCGCGGCGCCAGTGCCGAGCAGGACGGCGTTGCAGCGCGTGCTGATGTCCCTCAGCATCTCCTCCACCGTGTCCGAGGACTCGGTTTCGTATCCCTCATCCAGCCGCTGCCTCTTAAACGGGCCCAGTGAGGCGTTATCCCCAACAGGAGTCCCCGCCTGCTGGTTTCTGACTGTCATCAGTTTCTAAAAGAGAGTTTTCAAAGTACAAAAGATTAGAAATTAGAAGAAAAAAAGAATCCCGAAGCTCATTACATCATAATGCAATCGGGGTTAAGTCCAGGATGGAAACTGTAATGAGCTTGTCCTACTAACTTCCAGCGCTGAAGCCAAGTGCTTTGCTCGACTGGCCAGCTGCCTGAGGTGGAGATTCCTCTCCTCGAGGGAGTCGAGCTCATCCTGCTGTCTGTGAAGAGTCTCATGCAGCTGCAAACACAGAGATATATCCATTCAGCTCATGCCTTTTAGGATTTTCCTCTTTCATTGACACCACCCAATTTTATGTACAAACATCGAGCCGAAAAATGTTCAAAAATAGGCATGTATAGTCCTAATTCTCCAAAACTGCTCAAGTTATTGAAGCCAATCCACTGTTCATTCTTTCATAAGACCTCTTTTATGTGAGATGAATTGGTTTGGGTCAATAAAAAGAGGTCATGATGGGTTTTTACCTGTTTGTTGATGGACACTGAATGTCCCAGTGCCGTCCCTTGCCACTCCGCCATCCCTCTCCATGACGCGTCATCCTCGGCCTGCGGACCGCCTGTGTCTGTGTTTGAGTGAACAAGACTAGTCTCCTCAGCAAAGCTGCTTTGAGGCGTGAGGGGAGGAATGATATATCCCTGAAATGGTACCAGCTCTGCAGGAGACAGACTGCTCTCCAGCATGCAAGCTGAATCTGAAAGAGGAGACGAGGCAAAAAAGAGTGAAATGAATGAAATCGCAGTGACTTTGGATTCTTTTCGTAGTTGAACATTAAAAATTTAAAATATATTGTAATACATGGAGTCATCTTGGCAACTTATAGAGATTTTAGGACATTCATTTTCTCACCTGCCATGAAATCCAGCGCATAATCTCCAAAGTATTTATCATCTGGATCAGATTCAGACTCCTGTAAGCAAAAGAAAATTCACAGTTAGCATCTGTGTGCAATTTTCTTTCCATTAATCCTCCAGGAACTGTCCCTTTGCCCTCTCTACCTGAAAGTCCCACCATCTCCAGGTAGGGCAACATGGCTCGTTAACGGGATGTACGCTGGTGGACATTTCAGGCAAAGTGCCGTCGCGTTATGCGTAAAGTGTGCCAAAAGAGCAGTTTGTGGAAAAAAACCTTGTGAGGTCTGACCAATTAGTACCTTGTGTGTCGTGAGTAAACCCCAATGCCATTCGTGCAGGATTCCTGCACATCGTGTCAAACATTAACAGGGCTTCATGCCTGTCACCTTATTAAATGTCCCTTGGGTTAGTGGGCTTTAACTGGTTAACCGAGAGGGCTTGGATATATATATAATGATTCAGTAAATGTTAACTGTAAGGATGAATGAATTGGACATTTATGTTCTGGTCAGACTCCGTCCTAACCTGAGAGTTGAGCGAATCTCTCTCCCGTCTCAACTCAGAGGCACGGTCCTCCAGATCTCCCCATGCGATTGTCGAAAAAGCTGTCAAAGAACAACAGAGTGAAAAGACGAAGAATGTGGCATACAAAGTCAGTATATGTGAGAGGCAGCTCACCTTGGTCAGCGATGCAGGGGAGGTCCACGTACACGGAGACAGGACTGCTACTTCTTGGATCTGGAGTTTTATCCTGTAGGAAAATTCATAAGACCTTTAAGCTCTTTGGGGCTGGCGTGTCTGACAATTAAAAAGACAGAATTCGTACACTTTTATTTTGAACTGCTCTCCTCGCACGCTGTCCCAGGTGGTTGGGCCAAACGGCACCGCACGCGTGTCCCTCTCTGCGCAGCTCCATCTGCAAAAATTGAGTGGACATGATTTGATTTTTGGCTGATATAGGCGACACTCTCCCGGTTCGTGTCTCCCCATGCCGCGGTTTCATACTTCACACCCAATCAAAAGCACTTACTCGGTCTCCAGGGAGCCACGGCATCCTCGGAGATTAAATAGGTGCAGACTGTTTTCTATGAAAAGTGCAAAAACAGTGCCGCGCAAAACGGCGCCAGTACAACAGGTGCCCTCTAATTTACCCGGGAGGGATGGTGGTGGTGGTGGGGGGGAGGTCTGTATTTAATACAGACTCACATATACATGTTCTGGCTTTATAGAAATAGTATCAAACGTCGAGAAAAAGTAGAGCTGACATTGAGGAAGCATAAGTTGAACAACAGAACGATATTAAACTCTTGCTCAATCTCCGGTTTATATCTCAGTGGTTTACATGACTTAAGCACTCTGTGCGCAATTGTTATCCAACTGTGCGTAAAATATTCATCAGCCTAAATGAGCCTGTTGTCGCCTTAGAAGCGAAGAGGAAAAGGAAAAGGGCAATTAAGACGGACAGCTCAGTAAACAGCCGTGACAAATGCCTCATGTGGGTAAACAAACAGATGTCCCCCTCAGTCCACGAGGTTGAATGCACCTGTGTGGTCGATACTGTGTCAGCAGGTCGAGCTGCCACGCGTAATGGATCATCACACAAATCCAAACACACTCCACTGTGTTTTGGTTTGAAAAAGCTAACAAACATAAAATGGCTGGTGTACTGACTTTGGGCCAACAATAGCAGCAGGTATTAGAAAAGTACTTCTATCCATTATTACGGTCTCATATTAGCAGCACTTTCAAACCACTTAAACCTACTAGATAGAAGTTTATTGGAATTGTGTAGAAAGGATTATCCACTTTCCTTTAGTCATTTACATCTACACTGAGCATGCCAGGGTGCTGGGGGGGGGGCTGTCTAAACATCCACTGAAGATGCTTTCTAAGAAATGTAAAAGCCCCCAGACATGGTTTAACGTTCCTGATCAACAAACAGCAAACCTTTGTTTTTCACCCCAATGCAGAGACGAGAAACTTGTTCATACAGGGATTATTTATTTAGCAAAAATGACACACATTGTTTCAGATACTGTGTTAGAGAGGTGGCAAAAGCCAGCAGCAAATCAGATCGAACATAAATAAAACAGTACAAACAATGCAACAATGTATTCCACATGACAGACAACATGGTAATAAATAAGAAATACCTTAAAGTTCAACAGTAAAACCACAAGTGGCTGCAAACATCTGACCGTGTTAGAGGTATACATGCAGTTCAGGAAGTTTTAAGCAGTATCCTCTGAACTGAACCTAGTCTCTGTTCTAAATAACCACAGAGAAAAAGGGGATTTGGAGTCAAAACAGCTGCAGTCAAACGACTGACATGGTCTCCTGGTTTAAAGAAACGAGCAGCCTCAGGTTTTCTTTGCATTCCTGTACCAGACTTCGGTTGTAGAGCACTTCCCCGACGGACAGGAGATTCTGATTCAGTGCCCCAGAGTCGTCATCAGAGCCAGGATCTTCAGGCGTTTGAACAGAAACTGTTTGTGTGCAAAGTTCCTCTGTGAAATCGCCCCACTGGTCTCCCCCCGACTGCTCAATGGAGCCGTGCTGGCTTTTCAGGAACTCCCAGGCCAGTGTCAGAGCACTGCTGGCCGTCAGGGATGGCGGATATTTATTGAAAGCGTAGTCTGCCAGAGTCAGCTCGCACACTTTTTGTGCCAGACTGCTGCACCGCCTGACACACGCCACGCCCGGACTCACACCCGACAACATGCCGCCGCCACGGTTCTCAATCGCAGGCCGAGAAGCCTCGATGCAGTTGGCGAAATAGTCCAGGAAGAAGGCCAGCGTGGGAGCGGCCAGCCGGAAGTTGAGACGGAGGAGGACCAGGCACTCCAGGTTGCGGAGCTGCTCCTTGGTGAAAGCATCACAGCACAGAGACAACAGGTGGCTGACCGGTGGGGAGCACACCTCCACCTGCAGGGAGGATATAGGGGGAGAGGTGAAGCCCAGCGTGGTGGGGAAAACAATCTGGCCCCTAAAACCGGTCGTAACCCCCAAAAAGACCGACCTGTTTGCTGGCCAGGAGAAGCGCGGTGACACCCAGAAGCTGAAAGCAGTCAGAGGCCACCGGAGTGGACGCCAGGAAGCGGTCCATGATGTTCACCGTCAGGCAGCAGCACTCGAAGGACAGGCGGAAGTGCTTGTGGACCGGGATGAGCCAGCTGACCAGCTTGCACCTTGCCGCTGCGGTCAACTGTGGGCAAAACACAGAGGCATCAGCATGTAAAAAATGTTACACAGGTGGAACAACTCCAAAGCTGGAAGAGTTTCACTGCTAAGCGGACATTTTATCTACATTGTTTTACAAGTATATTCATGTTTTGTTGCTCTGATTTGAACATATAAGTTTAGATGGCTCTAATGCATTTTTAGGTGGAAATTTAGTCTGTATAAAGTTGAAAATATCACTTTTTATCAAATCACATGAGGAAAGTTAGACCAATTTTACTTTTTGATTATGGCTTTTTCCATATATTTTAAGATAAACTAAAGTCTGGGTCATTGCCTACTTGTGGTTGGCGAGCCAGACTTTTGCAGGACTGGAACTGTGCCTCTTTCTCCCTCTGGATCTTGAAACCAACATCTCCGTACTGGAGGTACCAGTTGGGCAGCTGTCCAGCCCCGGGCTCCTGCTCGTCCCCCCCGCCGTTTGACTCATTGATCCGAAACCTGCGAGAAATCGCCGCGGATAACAAATCCTCTTCAAACCCAGAGTCGCTCAGTTTGGAAACGAGCTTCTGTTTTCGGAGCCGGGCCGCCTGTCTGTGCCGACGGGGTGTGAGAACCTCTTCCGGGGGAGATGGGCAGCTCATTCTTCTACTTTGGGACGAACTTTTGGAACCGCTTGCAGTGGTCAGACACCATCCCCGATGTGGAGCAGAGGATCCTGCTGACTTCGCCTCGACTTCCACCGACCGCAGTCCGGTGTCGCCTGCGGGATGGAGATGGGAGTTCCGTCTGTGACGTCAGCTTTTCCCGGGGTATTCCCCGCTCGTGCGGCTCACCTTTCTCTCGTCGCCCCTGGCAGCAGAGGCTTAACGAGGCAGGAATTAATGACCGAACCTTGAGCCATATGGCTTTTGATTAGCAGCTTACGGCTCCACTTCAGAGGACAAAGGGGAACAGTCTGAACTAATAATCTTGGCTTTTTTTTTTTTTAAATGGTGGAGGAACTAGTTAAAACGTTTAAAGCTTATTATTTCACACGAAACACTTATCTATGCCCCGTTATTCTATTCAACGCAAATATAAATGCCTGTTACTTTAATACGTCTAATTTGGAACAACATATCTGAAAGATGACGTGTACATTGAGTTTTTAGTTAAATATGAGGCAACTGAACTTAAAAAACACCTTCAACATTAGATGCGATGTTATTTTTTATAAGGATATGTAGGTAAGGATTTTGCAAAAACAATAGGCTAAAATTGTTGCATTTTTGTTTAATTATAAAAGGCTATCTCAAACCGAAAAAAAACACCGGCTGGAGATTGTTTCTATTATTATCATTTGAATCCAGAGTCCCTGGTCACTATGTTACAACACTGTACAGTCAGAATGATTTGTCTGTCATGGTTTTCTTGTTAGAAAAACAGATGAATCACTCTTCTCCATCGGTTATGGGCGGAACTTCAAGCCTGACGATTAGAAAACAGACACCCGTACGTCACCTTTAAACTCCAGTTTGCGACAAGAGATCATGCAAAGTCAGAGCTGAACAAGCCGTCAAGTATGTCCTCTGTACGCCAACCAAAGGTATTTTAGGAGCTGTGTGTGTATAGTCGTCGTTGGCGTTTAACTCATGCTTAAGTCAACCCCAGTGGCAGGATAAGCCCCTCAACCAAAATATGTCAAAGAATCAACAGAGCTAGCTAGTTGATAGCGCTCGGTGCATTAGCTACAATGCTAAACAGTTGTAGCTAACGTTAGCATAGGTTTTTCTGTGTGATGGCAGAGACTAGAGTTAAATGCGGCGACTGACCGTGATTCGTTACGGGTCTGTTGTTTATGTAAACGCGATGCAAAGCGTTAATCAGAGGAAGCGGTGGACGTTATAGGGAAAACATTTGGCCGTAGCTTGTAAGCTAGCTTTATGCTAACAGCATGCCACTAAGAGCACTTACATACAGTCAGTTAGACGGCTAGAGTTACAGTTAACCGCGCGCTGTTATTTGTAGTGTAATTCTTGTTTTGTAAGTAAAGTGGTTGTCTTAATTTGCAGCGAATAGAGAAAGGAATTAATTTAAGAAAAAAGAGTTTAAATGGGGCTACATCCTAAAGGTGCTGCAGCTGTCTCAAATAGGGTCAGGTTGTAAACATTGGGAGCTTTCTATTGAAAAAAGAATGTTGAACAAGGCGATGAATAGATAAAAACGACAGTGGCCATCAGCTTCATGGCATCGTGTTAAAATAACAAAGTGTAATCAATGTGAGGCCTTTTTAAGGAGAGATACAGGAGATCTTTTTTTTTTTTTGCCAGTGCAGCACAGCTTCTGATGCATGTTTTAAAAGGAAAACAAAAGCAATAACATATTTTCTCCTTTGGAATAAACAAAGCACTAAAATGTTTTATTTTGCAACACTTTTCTTTTGGAACTCATAACAAATGACAACATTTTTATCTTTGACAAATTGTCAGGAAGTTTGTGTTGACAATAACTACATGTATGAATATATAAAAGTAAAAAACAGTTTAAATTGTTAGTGAAAGACATTTCAGAAACATTGGTCTGTAAGAAGAAAATAGCATCTGGTTCCCATGGCAACTGTACAATAAGACTATTTGACTTGTCATTTCTCTTGTAGTTTTACTGAAAGTGAAGCATGGAAGGCTCCGGCAGGCCTTACAGGTCTAAGCAAAGCGGCTGGGAGAGGGGAGCAGCTGCGCCAGACGTGCCAGAAAACTGGAAGATGCAGGATCAGGCTCGAGGACAGAACTACCGACCCGAAGGAGGCCAGCCGGGCAAGAAGAATCAGGGTGGCCCTTACAGGGCGAGCCCCAAGAGGGGAGGTCTAGGGCCCCTGAGCTACTCTCCTGGTGGTTTCAGAGGAGGTCACAGCCCCTCTCAGAGGGAGGACCTCCGGTGGTTCTCGGGTCCTGAGAGCAGCGGGAGCCGGGAGGAGATCTGGAGAGAGCGCATGCAGCAGCAGCACTGGAGGAGGAACACCCAGGGGGAATATACACAAGACGACAGGGAGGAGGGCAGGAGAGAAGCCTCGGAGGACGGCTCTCAAAAGTCTGGTGAGGATTTGGAAAAAACGTTCGGGGAGACAGTGCCATCCTCTAATAGCTATTCCCATGTGGAAAAAACAAAAGGAGATAAAACAAAGCAAATGTTTGTTTCACTTTATGAGCTAAAACCTGTCAGTGACCTGTACACTTTACTCATATGCGACACGGCTATTTTCTTTTTTTGAAGGAAGGAAACGAAGAAATAGAAACAGAAAGAAAGCTTTTGCCGAGGAGAGCAGGGGCGCTGTGACTGAAGAGTCCACGCTCTCAGTCAAAGAGCAGCGCAGCCTGCGAGAGGCAGAGATGCAGGCAGAGAGGCGTCTTAACAAAGAGGAGATCTATTTCCTGAGAAAGGTAAGACTTTGCCTCAGTTACTTCAGTAATGACATTTCTTTTACAAGAGGGACTTAAAACGATCTAAAAACAATTGAATCCTCCTTCTGACATTTGTTCTCTTTGTTCCCTCTTTTTATTGAATCCAGAAGCACCACAGCAGTCCTGGTGCCCTCTATAACTGTGCCCTGTGTGATCTTGTCCTGGAGTCTTTGTCTGATGCCTACAAGCATATCAGAGACAAACGGCATAAGAAAAGGGTTCGGGTGAGAAATGGTCCTAAATGTTTACATTGGTGATTTTGGCACTGTTAGTCAGTCTGTGACAGTCTGTGGAGTGGTTATATTTGTTTTGAAGAGCGGTTTTCTTTGTGTTCCAAGGAGAGACAAGAGCAGGACATGCTGACTGAGATTCTGCCCCCCGGCCCAGAGCACATCAGTGCCGTGACTGCAGCACTAGAGGCCGTCGTGCAGGAGCATGGGATGAGCGAGCAGGACGTGGAAAGGCGGCAGAGTGTCGTGTCCACAATGCAGGACCTCCTCCTGTCCATCCAGCCCGGTAAAACGCCCGAGTATGAAATATCAGTTTGGGACTATTTCACAACCCGAGTGAATTCTGAGTGTGTGACCCCCTCATCCCAGACAGCTTCTCAAATGCTTCGCCTCACTGCACCGCTGCCAGCCTTTATCCCTTTTAATAGTCTCTGTCCTTCTCTCAACTTTAGAGATAAAATTCAGGCTCTATGGATCATCATGCACTAAATTTGGATTTAAGGATTCAGATGTCAACATCGACATTCAGTATCCAGCTTATGTGAGTAGCTAAGTGTGAGTTTGATGGTGTTACTGTTTTATTACAGTTTTTTTTGTTTCAGTTTTCATTTCTTCTTTTCTTCCACACCTACCAGGAGAATAGTTAGAATCAAGAGTTTTAATAGGCAGGCTGAGAAGTTAAGTTAAAAACATGTTAACGTTGACTGGAAACTGTGATTTATAGTTTACAGTTCAGGTTTGTCACGTTGTTGACTTGTGTGTTTTATTTTAGTATATTTATCGAGGTTTAAAGATGGAATGTTTTCACAGATGCATCAGCCAGATGTCCTGATGTTGGTTAAGGAGACCCTCTCTGTGTGCCGTGAGTCACATCCTTCTCATTCCATGAAAAGATTGTTTTGCATTAAGACATCTGTCCTGTAGTGACAGATTTAAATCTGGCGTGTCTCCCTCGGTTCTCAGCTCTTTTCACTAATCTGGAAGCTGATTTCCATGCCAGGGTGCCGGTGGTTATCTGCAAGGAGAAGAAGAGGTTTGTAACAGAGAATGGATTATTTTTCAACTCTGTTGAGCTACTGATAGATTGTCATTCAAAATATATTAAAACTACAAAATCAGCTTCTTTCTGATTTATTTAGTTGAAGAAAAAGTGCAGGTTTCTTGTGAGGATTACAAAATAAGACTTTGAAAGTATTCACATTCTGAAACTACTGATGTGCGTGCAGATCAGAAGTTTTTCTTAATCTTGTACTGTCATTTATGTCAACAGTGGGTTGATCTGCAAAGTCAGCGCTGGGAATGAAAACGCTTCTCAGACCACCTCCTACCTATCTGCGCTTGCCACCAGGGAGCCGCATCTCCTGCCGCTGGTTTTGGGCCTCAGGCGTTGGGCTCGGGTACATTTTTTACGTTTTTTGTTCCCATTTTAAAAATGGCCCTGTTTTTTTCATTTGCGACAGACGTCCTACAAAAACAAAAGCAAATGATAATAACAAAGGTTGCAATAAGGCAGTTTTTTTTTCTTGCCAACTACACCATTAATTAATTGTTCTTTCTGGTTAAGATCTGTGAGATCGACCGTCCGGACGAAGGCGGGCTGCCACCGTACGTCTGCGCCCTCATGGTGATCTTCTTCTTACAGAAGCGCAAAGAGCCTCTCTTGCCTACATACATGAACCAGGAGGTGTGTTTCAACTCATTTCATGTTGGAAATAATGGCCATTTAAATAAAAATGTCAAAAGATTCCCCCAGACTAACCTGCCCACGTGATTGTCCTTAGATGAAAGTGTTTTCACTCAGCAAGCTTCCAGATTTCAGCCTCACACACACAGAGGATGGATACTTACACTGGACCCACACACCTTCCTCCAAAGAATCCTCACAGCCAGCAGAGGACTCCAGCATAAAGGGGAAGGTAATCATAAATAGTTTAGCTACACTAACTCTGGATAGTGATTGGATTTCTGATCATTTATTGAATGTTTATTAATTTTTTCTTGAGGCAGAAGTGATGTGTTCTAGCAAACATGTGGTTGGGTTAATGGATGTGTAATGGATGTTAAATCACACAGTTGTCAGATAACCAAACTAAACGCAGGAAACGGTTATTGTTGCTGATATTGTTTTTATTATATCAAGAAAAGAAATAAAGTTACATTTTGCTGAGAAAAGCTGTAAAGTGTGCTCTAATTTAATAGACTTAATAATTCATTAAGCACTTGTCTTGATTCATTTGGTTGGAGGTCTCTTTAAAAAAACAACCAATTTTTAATCTATTTGTTCCTTTTCTTTATTTTTTCCTGTTCCTATTCCTTTTTTTTTTAAATTGGAAAGGGCAGCTCCATTAACTCAAAGTGATTTACAGGCCCGTGTTAGTACTCAGAACAATATTAATAATGGAGGGTTAATAAATTGTGAAAAGGGCAGACGTGGCAAATCTTTGCCAGTTTGGGTGATTTTTTGTTTTCTTTTTTTCCCTCTTTTCACGTAGATTCATACAGCAGCACTGAAGTGGCTTCTCATCCTCTGAATGTCATTGACGATAGAAACAATTTTTATTATTACAAGCTTTTGGCTTGGTGTGTTCTTATGTATGTGTTATGTGTCCTTATGTAGCTAATTCATAATCCCTACTGTGCCACATCTTTATGACCTAAGAAACTTTATAGATATTTGTGTTTTTTATTATTTTGTGTGTTATCTAATGATAAACTACTGTCAAATTTTAATACCTTCTTATCTATTAACCAATACTGATAGAAGGATGTTAAAAACGGCAATGGCATGTTAAATTATGCCACGTTTGAAATGAAGACCTTCAAACCCGACAGGTGACTGCAGGTGGAGGTTGTGACAGCATTTGAATCTGGTGAAAAAAACCCTGAAATTCTTTCGTACAGAACAGTCCAGCTTATGCAATTGTTAAGAAGACACAGGTCCATTACGAATCTGCTGTTTTGTTTTTGTTCTCCCTTCTTCATGCAGGTCCCACTGGTGTATCAGAACCCTCGTCCTCCAGTGGAACTGGGGCTCCTCTGGGTTGAGGTGCTTCGCTTCTACGCACTGGAGTTCGTCATGGCCGACAACGTGATCAGTGTTCGTACCAATGCTGTTCTCTCCCGAGACGTGAAGGACTGGCCAAAGAAGCGCATGGCTGTTGAGGGTCAGAAGCTTTCAGAGAAATGCTTTCATTTAAAGAATTTCATGAACACTGCCACATTTTTTAAAAGGAGTTCTCTGAAGAGGCTTGTTTTACTTTGCCTGCTAGATTTTTAATCGGTGGTGTTAAACGGCTCAAAATGCTATTCGGCCAGATTATTTTCAAGAGATTGATTTAATTTTCTGTTTGTTTAGAATAGAGGCTCCTCGTAGATTGCCTAACTGGAACAAATCCCTCTGTTTTCAGACCCATTTGCGGTGAAAAGAAATGTGGCCCGCACCGTGAACAGCCAGAAAATGTACGACTTCATCCTCCACTGCCTCAAATCCACGTACAAATATTTTGCACTTCCTCACAACACGCCTGCTGCTAGACAAAAAAGAGTGGCCAAGCAGGGACCCTCACAGGGGGCAAACGCAAAGACTTCCACTGAAGAGGTATCGGGTTTGTCCGATTTCAGTCGGCTCACCCTCCAGCCAGGGCACAGCAGTCAAGCCAACACCTCAGAAAATGGGCCTGAGGATTCCGATTGTATTATTGAGGAAGAGGTGGAGGAATGCAGCGACTCGGATGAAGAGAGGGAGAAGGAGAAGGCGGACCTAGGAAAAAGCAGTCTGTCCGAGGATGAAGAGGATGAGGATGAGCAGGATGCGGGCACCTGTGACCGGCAGCACCTCGACAGCTTGACCACAGAGGATGAGGAGATTTTCCAAGTCGACGAGATCTCAGGGGAGGAGCTTTTGTCCGACGAGGAGGGTCCAGACTTTGACAACGAGGAAGAGGAGGAGGAAGAAGAAGAAGTGGAGTTGGGACCTGTGGGGATTTCATCTCCTCCTTCAGAGGACGCAGTTAAAGACGAAAGCTCAGAAAAGGAAAAGCCGAACCAACTGGTTTACGTGTTCACCAAGCAAGCTTTCACCAGGGGGAAGGTCAGTGGGACTCTTTGTTTTCATTTTTCTAGAACTGTATTTGCCCTTCACTGACAGAGCAAACTTTGTCTTTCCCACCTACATCGAAACTACTTCCAGTCCCACATGGTGGTGTGCAGCTTGTGTAAGCGGGACGGACATCTGAAGAAAGACTGTCCAGAGGATTTCAAGAAGGTGGAGCTGGACCCGTTGCCAGCAGTAACCCCGGAGTTCCTGGGTACCCTGAACAAAGTGTGTGAGCAGTGCTACAGTAAGTACCGCGATTAGAGTCAAAGGTGGTGTCCCTCCTGATTAAAATACCGCTGTTGAAAGTAGAGTGCTTTAATGTTTTTGATACATGCACAAAATAACAAGGTTAACATCAAATGCGAGGAGTTTTTATTGTCTGTGCCCAAAAGGGTTTAATTATCCTCAATTTATTAGATAAATGCATATATGAAAACAAAAATTATGCACACAAACAAATTTAATCCTCTTATGTCTTTTCTTTTCTTCTCATCAACTAAGGACTTTTTCGGGGTCTGAGCCCCACTGAGTTGCACAGCTTTAGCAACAGGGATTTTCTCACAGTTCCAAGTGTCAGAATCCCCTGAGGATTTTTCTACAGTCCAGTTGCCCAAAGTAGCTTTGTTTATTTTATTTTTTTTTAATGTTTTTTTTTTTTCTCTAGGCGACTTTGCCCCAGATAACCTAGAAGTTGGTGTAAGGGAGCACATCCTTAAAGACGTGGAGGCCTTTGTCAGACGACAATTTGCAGGTGAAGTAAAAAACCCTGTTTAATTCTGCTGCGTATGATTATGTGATTGAGGAGCTGACTGGCTTTTGATGGGGTGGTTGATAGAGGGGCCCTCTCCTAACACTCAGTGTTTATCGCCGTGGAGGGTTTTGACACTCAGTTTTTGCCTTGTAGGGGCTCGCCTACAGCTTTTTGGCTCTTCCAAAAATGGCTTTGGCTTCAGGCAGAGTGACCTTGACATCTGTATGGTGTTAGAAGGGCAGGAGACCATAGCTGTAAGTTATTACTCTTTTAGTGCTATTTACATTATTCTACATTTTAAGAGTGAATATATATCTGTTGTTTAGGTTTGATCCCATTTAGACTTAACCTTTTTTTTTTAAATGAATTTATGAATAATATAGTTGCTCTTTAAAATATTTAACCTGATTTTTTTTTTCTTATGTATCTTTTGGTTTTCCTGACAGGATGTGGACTGCATCATTATCATTGAAAGCTTAGCAAGATTGCTAAAGAAACATCCAGGTACATCATGACCGACCTGTTAATTAGGACCAACATGGGTGTTCTCCCGATTTCAGCTGTTAACAGTAGTGACTGGTGTTAAAGTTGGACAGAGTGAAATGGTTATCTCTCTCTTTCTCACCAGGTCTGAAAAACATCCTGCCCATCACTACAGCTAAAGTACCAATAGTTAAGTTCTATCATGTTCACACTGGCCTGGAGGGAGACATCAGCCTCTACAACACGCTGGTAGGGCTCCTTTCTCGTGTGCACTCTGTCCTTCTTGGGTCATAGATAAGTCGGTAAAACAAACAAAACATTGTTTGAACATTGCATTTGGGGTGCTTGAAAGCAAATGCTTTTCTCTCCAGGCCCTGCATAACACTCATCTGTTGGCCTCCTACGCTGCCATTGACCGAAGAGTGAAGATTCTCTGCTACGTCATGAAGGTTTTTGCCAAGGTAAAAGCTGCTGATATTCTCACAGCCAACAATCCTCACTGAAGTATTCCCAGCATGTAATGTGGCGTATCATTACTTTATTGAAGTTAAACAGATGTTTTCCTCCCCTCCTGTTACAGATGTGTGACATTGGGGATGCTTCACGTGGCAGCCTCTCGTCCTACGCTTACACTCTGATGGTGCTGTTCTTTCTTCAGCAGAGAAGCCCTCCAGTCATCCCAGTCCTCCAAGAGGTACTGATGATCTGTCTTTAAAACATTTTGGGGCTTAAACGATTCATTTAACATCACAATGACCTCATTCGAGCCTTCAAATATTATGAGCTGCTTTAAGGTTTTTTTTTTTCCTGCAGATCTACGATGGAAAGAAGAAGCCGGAGGTCTTGGTTGATGGCTGGAACGTGTACTTCTTTGACGATTTAAAAACACTGGTGAGCATGTTGTGTGTGTGTGTGTGTGTGTGTGTGTGTGTGTGTGTGTGTGTGTGTGT